GGCCACATCCTGGTCCTCCACACTCTCCCAGCTCAGAATTTCCCAACATGCTTTGCAGGGTGTTTCCTTTCCGGGGCATGAAGTATGGACGTCCAAACAGTCCTGGTGAGGCAAAGATAGCAACTTGCGATTAGTCCTTCCTGGTGTCCCTTCTTTAACTGTTTTAGTCTTTAATGACACAGCTCATGGCTCCATTAGCTGGAGGGACCTTGCATCAAGATGCCATCTATGGCCATGACTGGTGGCAAGACTTGATGTCGTGGCCAAGTCCCCTCCACCAATGACAGAGGACTGAGACGTTAAGGTACCCCGGGAGAAGAAAGATAAAATATATTCAAGCTGTGTCCCCTGAATGTAAAATTGATCTTGACCTTTCCACAGGGAAATGGAGCAAAAGGCACTGGCCAAATCTACAAGATTTGTGCCACCGCCATCTCCATAGCAGCAACATGTCCGTACCAGTGTGCAGGGGAACTTTGACCTTCAGCCTGAGGTAGTCTCCCGTCGGGCTCTGTGCTCCAAGGGTCTTTTTGGCAGAACAAACAGGATTTATATGTTGTAACAAAGTGATGCAAACCACTCTTGCTTGCACCTGGTCTTGAGCTAAAAGCAAACTATGTCTTTTCTCCGTCCGGCCTTGATGGGTCATGTGTGGAGGCTTAGCAACTCTGGCTCACATTTGACCCTAGGGACGGCACTTATTCCTGCAGGGGACACTCAATATTCCATGTCACAGGGGACCAGAACAGCAATGCCTAAAATGTACTCAGTAATGGGAACCAGGGTCACTCCCACAGGAAATGGCCCAGTGACCTCAATATCTATTTCTTAAAACAAATGTATGAAAACTGAAAACTGATTTGAAAGTATATTTTTTGCTTCCCCACAAAAAGCAATTAATGACATAGGTATATTATCACAACATTATTTTTTCAGTAAGAAAAAATATACTGTAAGTTAAATATTTAAAATTTTTATCTTCATATTTAGTGATATTTGTAAAACACAATAATGGAACAGACAAAAATTATAGCCACAATAGTCATTATGTGTTTTTCTGCCTTAAGTCTTAACTATTTATAACTAAATTTATTTTACATAAAATTTTTTCTTTATAAGCCATCGTTTCTTGGTTTATTCTGCTAGAAATTAAATAATCACTTATTTTTTTATTTATTCTTTTTAGTTGTGCATGACAGTACTGTATTTTGACATATTGTACGTCCAGAGTTATGACTTCTCATTTGTGCAGTTGTACATGATGTAGAGTTTCACTGATTGTGCATCCACATGTGAACACAGGAAAGTTATGTCCGATTCATTCTATTGTCTTTCCTAATCCCATCTCTGCTCCCTCCCCTTCATTTCCCTTTGTCTAATCCAGTGAACTCTTCTGTTCATCCCTCCCTCTCGCTTATTGTGTGTTAGCATCTACATATTAGAGAGAACATTCAACATTTGTTTTGGGGGGGGCATTGCCTTATTTCACTTAGAATGACAGTCTTCAGTTCATTCATTTACTGACAAATGCCATAATTTCATTCTTCTTTATGGCTGAATAATATTCCATTGTATAAATGTACCACATTTTTTTTTATCCATTCATCTGTTGAAGGGCACCCAGGTTGGTTCCATGGCTTAGCTATTGCAAATTGAGCTGTTATATACATGGGTGTGGCTGCATCACTATAGTATGCTGATTTTAAGTCTTTGAGACATATGCCAAGGAGTGGGATAGCTGGGTCAAATGGTGGTTCCTTTCCAGGTTTTCTGAGGAAAACTGGTTGCCCCAGTTTGCAGTCTCACTAGCAAGGCATGGGTGGACCTTTTCCCCACATCCTTGCCAACAATTATCGTTACTTATATTCTTGATAATTAATTGCTTATTTCTTAAAGTCTCCATGGGAAAAGGTACTCAATGACAATTTCTACAAACTTTTATCTACCAGCTGGAACACTTAGTTGCCAAACAATTTTTGTATTATAAAATTAATTCAAGCCATGCCGACGACAACTTACGTCTCACTGGCTCTTTTCTCCTATGGAAGCTAGAAAGCTAAAGAGTCCCCTGCAGGTAGGACTGGGCACGTGACTCGGAGCCAACCAGTGAAACATTCCCAAAGCCCAGTTGCTGCTGTCCCTCTTACTCTGTCTCTTTTCCCACCAGGAGTGGCGTGATGATGTTGGTGGCACCACCATTACCAAGGGTGGTGGAGTGGGCAGAGGGCAGAAGAGGGCTTCCAGCTGTGGCCATGGAGCCTCAATCAAGGAAGGATTTTCTGTTCCCATATTGCTTGTGCTGGGAGAGGAATATGTTCCTTTAAGTCTAAGCTACTGCTCCTCGAGTTTGAAAGCGAACCCACTCGGCCACGTCTTTTTACTACATTCTGGTCAACTCAGAATTACCAGTTGACCAGAGCGCGTACTGAGTACTCTTTGGAGAAGGAGGGCTGCTAAAGGGGGGACCTGCAGAAGTCAGGGGCTTAGTGAAATGAAGGCTGGAGACACGTTCATGTCACAGTCTTTTGGGGTGATTGGCTGGTGCCTCCCAGCAGTGATTAACATCACAGGCTCCTTCCTGAATCGGGGCTCCTCCGACGGTCCCTTAGGTGCTCCGCGTCATACTAGAAACAGGATGAGAGACAAACTATGGCTAATCTTCAGGGATGTTTTAGGCACCCCCAGAAGTTGTGTGCCTCCCCTTCTCCCACCATTCCCTTAGACAGAACCCGATTCCACAACCCACCTGATCACAAAGGAGGTTGGACACTGTAGTTCAGCTGCGTATCCAGGAGGACAATGACAGACCCCAGAGCAGCTAGATTATAAATCACAAAATTCGAGATCCAGGTTGGCAGCCTGTATGGCCAGTGACCCTCCCCCTGTTTTGTAAGTAAAGTTTGATTAGGACACAGACACCCTTATTCACATGGTCCGCGGCCATTTTCACACAATGCCCAGATAATTGCAGCAGACACCAAGTGGCCACAGAGCCGGACATATTCACCTTCCCGCGCCTTACGGGACAGGTTCACCAACACCAAAATGAGCCATCTTTCACTCCTTTGGTCTCTGGCGACACTTGCAAAACTGCCAGCCTATCCCCATCCTTCCCTGAGACCTCTGCTGACCTGCCTTCCGGGCAGAATGAGAGAGAAGTGGGAGATGAGGATTTAATGGACAGGGGAAATGAGGTTGTTATAAATGGTGCTGTTAAGGGGAGCAGGGCAATTGTGCACGAGCTGGAAGATGTAGGGGAAGTCTCACAGAGCACTGCCATTAGAAAGTCCCAGGGGTCGTCGCAGCTGGAAGGCCACTTCCTGGTCTCTCTTACCCAATCACACGGGTCACATAATTCCCCAGGCCTGGTCATAATACTTTTCTTATCGTAATAACTGATTATAGAGTCTGGATGTCTGAATGTCCTCCAAAGACCCACATGTTACAGGTCTGATCCCCAGGGTGACGTTGTTATGAGGTGAAGGCCACAGGTCACTGGGGGCATGCCCTGCCTGGAGCTGTGGGGCCCCGACCTTTCCCTTCTCTCTGTGCTCCTGGCCTGCAGTGTGAGTGATCCGGCTCCACCACGGGCCCCCACCATGCTGTGCTGCCTGTCCACAGCCCCAGAGGAACAGCCAACCACCTTGGACTGGCACCTCCAAACTGCGAGCCAAAATGAACCTTTTCTCTCTGCAAGTTGCGTATCTCAAGTGCTTTTTTGTTTGTTTGTTTGTTTGTTTGATATATTTTAGTTGTAAAAGGACACAGTATCTTTACTTTATTTATTCATTTTCATGTGGTGCTGAGGATCCAACCCAGTGCCTCCCACATGCTAGGCAAGTGCTCTACCCCTGAGCCGTAGTCCCAAGTGCTTTTTTAAAAATTTTTACTTTTTTAGTTATACATGGACACAATGTCTTTGTTTATTTATTTTTATGTGGTGCTGAAGATCGAACCCAGTGCCTCACGTGTGAGAGGCAAGTGCTCTGCCACTGAGCCACAGCCCCAGCCCCCCTCCAAGTGCTTTTTTAATAGTGGCAGGATGCTGAGTAACACACCAACACATCTGATCCTCTTGTTGTAGTCGCCCTTGGCTTCTACCGTCTATTCATTTATTTTAAAAAAATATATAAGGTGATATTTCCCCTTGTTGATGAGAGAAGTGGAGGTTGATACTGCATCAATAATCATATGTGCATATATAGATACAGATATATATGTGTGTATATATATATATATGATATTGTAGAATGCAAATATAAGATTCTGAGTTTTGGGGTTTTATAGATTAGTTTTCCACTAATTAGCAAAAGAACATGTTCCTTATTGTTATCATACCATATCCTTTTATAAGGTATGATAACCTCTCATAGAAATATTATGAAAAAATAAAACAGATTTTTAAGCAAATAAGACAGATTTTTTGGCAAATAAGACAGATTTTTAAGATTTTTGTGCAGATGAAATTATAAAATAATGTAGATAAGACCCTAAAGACAACATCAACAAATTCCATGCATCCTATTCTGACAACTAAAGTGGAAGTTGGAAAAGCTGCCCCATGTAGGAAAAGTATGTGCAATAAAGTGTTAGGGGAAATTATGAAATCATCTGAAGTGGGGAGGAAACAGAACAGATGGCTGAGTGTTCTGTTCAGCACAGGCCCCTGAATTCTCTCTGTTTTCAATAATCTCAGAGCTTTATTGCAACTCTGTAAATAGAGAAAACTGATACTAACACAAATGATTCCTTTCTATAGAAATGAACCTGAATTTCTGTCGTTTCCAGGGAAAGGAAAGGATAAGCGACCCATGGACAGATCCCTTTAATCTCCTTCTGTAACTCCATTTCTGCCTATATATGTAAGTCACCTAGAGTTCTCCTTTGAACTTGTTACAACGTCTTACCAATTCCCTCATGAATGCTTACCTTATATGTGTATGAGAATCATAATTATAACCTAAAAAGCTATCCATTAATACACACACAAAAAAAAAAACTGATTTTTCTTCAATTTTGATGTATAGTTTCTGTTTGGTTGGGTTATACTTTTTCTCCCCAAAGACAGGTTTGGAAATAACCTGAGAAAAGCATTTTGGTCAGTCTTCATGTTCTGTTTAATGCCCTGCAGAGATTCCACACATAGAAATTCTTAATTTTACTGTTAGATTGAAATTGCCATGAAGGAGAGAGACGTTCTATCAAGGAGGTTTCATGGATGAATCTCCAGTTCCATTAAGAATTCTTTACTAGAAGAATAAAAAATTCCTATAAGAAAGGAGAAAAAAAGGCGATTTTATAATGATGACTGACAACTTTTGAGGAAAGAAGCTTACCCTGACGTACATCCTTCTCCTAATCCACACATCAAGTGGTAGCAAATGCAGGGCCAAGCTCCTGGACCACTTGTAAAGCAGCTTCCGTGATTTCCTCTAGTCAAGCAGGTTTTACACATTGGGGCTCCTTTCCAGATTCTCTTCAAGTTCTCCTCACAGGTACCAAGCACCATCTCTCATCTCCCAGCACTGCCCAAGTGCTCAGTGCTTCCAGAATATTCTGTGGCTTCTGTGGACTCCCAGAGCAGCATGAACCCCCGTCTTGTAGCACAGCACTTACTTCCCAGGGCTCTGCAGAGAGACTGGGTTTGCATCAAGGCTCCAAGTACCTTCTTTACATCTCAACACAGAACTTTTTCTTTGGAAGGTTGTCGATGAAGATCAAATAAGTCGGCGGGTATAAACTGGTGAGTACGTGGCCTTCCTCGTCAGATGCACAGGGAAATATTAGGGGGCGGGGGGCGTGTGCACAATCACATACATTCCCCTTCCCTAATGCTCTGTTAAAATCCATTTTTTTTTCTGGTTGCAATCAGCCCAGGAAGGTGAACTGACACATTAATTCTCACATTAAAATAGTAAGAAGTCATTTAATGTTTAAAAGGTCATGATCTTTACGTAGCTCCACTCATTAAAAATCTTGCAACAACCTTTTCAAGAGAAGCATTCCAGCCGAATTGCTCCTTCTTTGCAAAGGTTTGAATAACCTGCCCAATATATTTGTTTCCTAGGGCTGCCCCAACAAAATACCTCAAACCGAGGAGTTTACAGCAACAGGAACTCATTCCCTCGCAGTTCTGCAGGCCAGATGTCTGAAAGGCCAGGCGTCAGCAGAGCTGTGCTCCTTCTGAGGCTCCAGGAAAGAACCTTCTTGGCTCTTCCCAGCTTCTGGGGTCCCAGCAGCCCTTGTGTCTTTGGACTTGCAACTGTGACACTCCAACCTCTGCCTCAATCTCCGCACGGGGCCTGCCCTGATGTGTCTGTCCCTGTCTTCCCCTCTTCTTAGGAGATGATTGGTCACAGAGAATCAGGCTGTGTACACATATGAATATACCACAGTAAATTCCACCTTTCTGTATACTTATGAAGCACCAACGTAAAAAGCAATAAATAAACAGAAGGAAGTCAAGTGGAAGAGGAAAAGGGGATGGGAAGAGAGGAGGCTTTTGTAAAAGAAAGTACTAGGGACTGAAATGGAACAAATTATATTCCATGTGTGTATGGCTTCGTCAAAAATGAGCCAACTATTATGTGTAACTATCATGTACTGATAAAATCTTTTTTTTTTAAGAGTCTTTCGGGCATCAATATGTCCCTTTAGTTACAATCCAATGAAGCAGGTCTGGGAACCCCCCTGTCATGTACTCTACCTTTGCGTATTGTTGCTCTGACCCACTCACTGCACATTGATTATAAAGTTGATTCCTGGGTAGTGGCCTGGTTTTCTTCTTTCCAAGTTCTTGGTGAAAGATAGAATGGGAGTAGCCACCGTTTACCAAGAATAAGGGAAAATTAAAAAGTAAGAATACTTGCTGTGGGAGTTAGGGTCCACAACTTAATTATATTTCTAAAAAAGATTCTATTTCCTGATTTTTCATTCTCTCTAGAAATTAGCTAAACCTGGAAGGGACATCCAGGGTGAAAGTTTACTAAAGAAAAATAAATAAATAGAATAGAATAGAATAGAATAGCAATCCAGTTGTTCCCAAGGCTTCCATTGGTCACAGACCTTTTCTGTGAAATGTCAGTTAATAAATATTTAAGCTTCAAGGACCGTATATGGTTTCAGTTGTATACTCTTCTATTTTTTAATATTTTTAGATAACTAGAATAAGTTATACTCCATGTATATATAATATGTATATATATATATATATATGTATATACATATATATATATATATAATATGTATATATATATATGTATATACATATATATATATATATAATATGTATATATATATATGTATATACATATATATATATATATATAAAGGGAGCAAATAAATTTTTTAAAAATATATTAAAACCACTTGTGTTTACGGGCTTACAAAAAATTTGATTTGACCAAACTGCCAAGGCTCAGAGCTGAGACCTGGGACCCTCTGTCTGCTTTCCGCTCTCTGCCTGCATCTGTAAGCTGAAAATGAGTTGTTTTGTTGGGAAAAACGAAGCTCATTAAACTTCATGTTTTACTTAATGGAAAACAAAAGACATGAATAGTTAGGGATCTGGGGAGGATTTATTGCTTGGTTCTATTTTGCTGCTTTTCAGCTGCTTTTCCTCACAAAGTGCCAATATTTCTTCTGCTCTGTTTTCCAGGGTCTTTTCTGGTCGCCTGTTCAATTTTGGGGGTTGCCCGTTTTTTACCTTCTTTCTCCCATCTTCTTTCTAGCTTGCTTGTGTTTATCGTTTTCCACCCTGAGGGGCTGACGCAGACTTCCAAGTTGCAGGGTGGTAAGAATAATTAACGGATTGTTCTGTGTAAATAATACAGATGGGAGGGGGGAGGGGGCAAGGCGGTCTGGAAACGAAGGACTTTCTATGCCCAAACCTCACAGAGAGAACATCTGGTGCTACATGCAGCTGTAAAAAGAGCTGGCTTTTAAAAACAGACAAAGCCCTGTTATATAAAGGGGAAAGTATGGTGTTTGTTATTTCAAAGTGGCAAGCGCTCCCCCTCCCGTCCACACTCAGTGCCACTTTGCATATCCCCCCAAAAAGAAGACAAATAATAAATTAATGATACAGAATAAGGTTCTTCATCTGTGGAAGTGTGGATTATGCAAGCCCTGGGTAAGAACACAGGGCTGATTCATGGACAGTGCTCCCTGTGCTAAGGGAATGTCCCACGGCACTGATAGAAGCAGTGATCTCTCACCTGGGGCTGGTGGGCCACATCATTGTCACATGCACTGGTTTCCTAGGGGTTAGTTTCTATTTTGAAGACTTCAAATAATTCACTGTGAATTCAATCGTGGTTTGATGATGATCTTGTTTGCAAAGTTGTGAAGCTTCTCATTCAAACAATCCAGTTCCGGCAAGCTGGCTTCTTGACCCTGACCGTATTCCACCCCCAAACAAGTGGTCATTCACATTTTTGCTTTTTTCCACATTTTTGACTTGAAATTTAAAAAAAAAGACCAAAGAGCATCTGCTTCCAAGACTTTTCCAAGCACATCAGTGGGGTCTTCATTTCTGAGCAAGGAACTGCAGACTTTCAACTTTAGGACCCCATGTACAAATCAGAGAACTTTCAAGGGGGGGGGCCTTGGTTCCAACTTTGTGGTCATTCTGAGACATAGAAGCAAAGAACAGGGAGCTGTTGCATTAGTAGTTAGGTTTTTTTGTTGTTGTTGTTTTTTAAACAAAAGGAATCTCTGTACTCTTTTTGTAGTCAAAAACTTTTAACAACTCATTGCACTCAAGAAATACTCAGGAGAAAGCCACTCTGGGGCATGAATATATGTTGCCCTTCAAAGAATAAATCAGCAATTCATGTATATCAACTTTAGGCTCAATGAGAAAAATTAATGTTATTTTTTTAAAAAGCACTCAATATTTTAAAAATGTTTTACTGTGAAAGTGTGAAATTTACTAATTTTTTTCCTTTTTTTAAGTTTCAGATAAAAAATACAAGCATTTAATCCAATCACTTATTCTCAAGTTTAATTATACTGTATTAATATTCTTTTCACTTTAGATATGATTGTCAGAAGCCCTGAGAGAAATCACAATTACCACAATGAAGTCGACCATGAATTCCACCTTGAAAATTGGCTTTGGCAATAGACATTCAGAAAAAGCTGTAGGAAAGCCGGCTTTTGTGAAGACACCCTGCTGCAACACGGTCATTTACTGGGGTCCTCAGGTTAACACCTGATGATTATGGTTTTGGGGAATAATGGTAAAGATTCCAAAGTGTGGTTTTACCAGAAAGCATGGTCTAACTACCATTGGGATTAGGTCCATGGTATAGCAGCTCTTTGAAACTTTGGTTTACCATGGTTGTGTGTGTGTGGCCAGATCTAATAAATCTGAGAAAAACAGACAGATGAAACAAGACAAACTGTCACCAAAAAGAGTATAAACTATCCAAGGTTATGTTACAAAATGTACTTTGAGCCTAAGAATTGGTATTCAGAAAAAGTAACGTTTATTCTGCTGTTTCTCTTTATCAACTCTGATTTATTAGAGGAAAGAAGATGGTAAGGAGGATGGCTAAAATTTTGGTCTTCCTTTGAGATTAAAGGGATAAAATTGTCCAGTGATCAATGAACACAAAAGGGAAATTATATGTCAAAATAAACCCCAATATCATGCATAACTATAATACGCTAATAAAAATGTTTTAAAGGATTCCATTTAAAAACAATTGCCTTCTGTATACCATGTTCATGGAAACAACACAAATCAGTCACTATGCTTCTTTTTAATGACATGGAATATGAGAAGAGCATTTCTTGCTTGAGTCCTATTCCTGTCTGTATTCTGATTGTCCCAACTGTCACATATTCAAATTTCACCCAGATCAGCCACTAGGTGTTTCAGATTCTCTTTTTTTCTCTTATTCTTTCCCCTGTTCTCTTTTTCACCCCTTCTCCTTCTAACTCTGAATGAGAGACATATAAACAATGTCTTTGGTTTATAAAGCCCACTGTACAGTTAGGCCTGTTTTTTCCTTCTTCACTTCCTGTGCCTCTGATTGTATGGCAGGTGCTGATCCCTGGTTTGTTTTTGTTTTGTTTTTTTTTTCCCATGATCATTTTCTTTCCTCCCACTCCCTAATGTTACTCAACAAGCTTGGAGGATATTAAAATATATTAACATATTTGTTTTGAAATGAAAGGAAAAAAAAAGAAAGAAAAGAAGCCAGAAACCATTGGCTTCCTTATTTCTCTGGAGAACATTTGGTGTTGTTCAGTGTTTCATT